CACTACACACACTTCACTTGACACGTGTGGTCACTACCTTTCCCACTACACACTCCACTTGACACGTGTAGTTACTATGGCTCACGCTGCATGCTCACACTGCATGCTCACACTGCATGCTCACACTGCACTCCAGCCCCGTAACGTCCGTGGAGCCTCCAGGCCTACCCCAGCTTGGGCGTGGGTCACAACCTCTGGGTCTCGAGGGCCGGCCCTCACACGGACGTTCGGCCCCGGGTCCCAGGGTCCCGCCTCTGGGTCACACAGAGCCCCGGCCCTTACAAGGACAGCGGGACTAGGTGCCGCAGGGCCCTATCTCTTCCTCCTCCGTCTTCAGTCTTCGCTGGTCACCAACTCCCTTTGCGCCTGTGCGCACCACCTTATATAGCCCCCGCTCTCGGGAGACGGAGCGTATGTGGACCTCGACGTGAGCATCCCCCTTAGTTGACCAATCCCCGCGCGCTTGCCCCAGGATCCCATCGCTGTCAGCGCGCGTCACCGATACCCAGCCAATCACTGCGTCATAACCCCCGACCCCGCGCTGACCCCTGATCCTTCACCGTCAGCGCGCGTCACCAACACACACAGCCAATCACTACGCGCTGGCACACGATCTCTACCCCAGCGCGTATCACCACTACACCTGTATAAAAGACACCTGTTCACAGAAGCAATCAATCAATCAATCAGATTCCAAACTCTCCACCAAGGCCAAGACCAAAGAGCTCTCCAAGGATGTCAGGGACAAGATTGTAGACCTACACAAGGCTGGAATGGGCTACAAGACCATCGCCAAGCAGCTTGGTGAGAAGGTGACAACAGTTGGTGCGATTATTCGCAAATGGAAGAAACAAAAAATAACTGTCAATCTCCCTTGGCCTGGGGCTCCATGCAAGATCTCACCTCGTGGAGAACGGTGAGGAAATCAGCCCAGAATTACACAGGAGGATCTTGTCAATGATCTCAAGGCAGCTAGGACCATAGTCATCAAGAAAACAGTTGGTAACACTATGCCGTGAAGGACTGAAATCCTGCAGCGCCCGCAAGGTCCCCCTGCTCAAGAAAGCACATATACATGCCCGTCTGAAGTTTGCCAATGAACATCTGAATGATTCAGAGGACAACTGGGTGAAAGTGCTGTGGTCAGATGAGACCAAAATGGAGCTCTTTGGCATCAACTCAATTCGCCGTGTTTGGAGGAGGAGGAATGCTGCCTATGACCCCAAGAACACCATCCCCACCATCAAACATGGAGGTGGAAACATTATTCTTTGGGAGTGTTTTTCTGCTTAGGGGACAGGACAACTTCACCGCATCAAAGGGACGATGGACGGGGCCATGTACCATCAAATCTTGGGTGAGAACCTCCTTCCCTCAGCCAGGGCATTGAAAATGGGTCGTGGATGGGTATTTCAGCATGACAATGACCCAAAACACACGGCCAAGGCAACAAAGGAGTGGCTCAAGAAGAAGCACATTAAGGTCCTGGACTGGCCTAGCCAGCCTCCAGACCTTAATCCCATAGCAAATCTGTGGAGGGAGCTGAAGGTATGAGTTGCCAAACGTCAGCCTCGAAACCTTAAGGACTTGGAGAATTTTTCGATTTAAAGCTTTCGTGACTGCAGGGATTCATCTTCTTGGTTCTTTCGGTAAAGTCACGTAGAAGGGAAGTAATAAAATAATAAAAATAAAACATAATAAAACAATTCTCACGACGTTTCGGCCACAACGCAAGCAGCCGTCCTCAGGTGAAAACCAGGTCTGTCGAGGCGACAGCGTCTGAATGAAACAGCACACGTGCTTGGAGCATATATATAAGCTGGGTTGGAAGGGGGGAAAAGGGCGCCTTGACAAAAGAATATGCATATCAAGAGGAATTTAGCATATTTATGGGAAATGCAGGAATGTGATTAGTACTATATATGCCCGTGCATTATGCAGGACTAGCAGCATCAAAGGGAGGGGATATGGGAAATGCAGGTATGTGAATACTGTAGTACTAATTATGCCCGTGCATTATGCAGGATTAGCAGCATCAAAGGGAGGGGATAGGGGTAGCATTAATAAAGGGAAGGAGTGTTAATAGTATGTAGCTGCAGTAACTAAAACCAACACGTAAACTACTAAAGTATGAACTACATAGTACCACCAAGAAGGATCCTGTTGAGGAGCCTTTCAAAACCATCACCTTACCCTACATTGCTGGGGTCACAAAAAAGATCTCCAAAATCCTGGTAAAACACAAGATCCAGGCCCGATTCAACACAGTACATAAAATCCGTGATCTGGTCCCGTCTGTAAAAGACGTGGTTCCAGACATACAGTACCCTGGCATTTACAAACTAAGTTTCCTCTGTGGTAGCAGTTACATTGGAGAAACCAAACGACATGTCTCGGACCGCATCCGTGAACATAAAGCAGACTTGAAACACGGTAGGACAAACACCTCAGCTGTGGCAGATCACTGTTACAATTCAGTGGGCTCACATGATATTGACTTCTCCAAGACAGAGGTTCTCTGCAAGCCATCCGGCTACCATGAGAGATTCGTCCATGAGGCGATCCACATATACAAACACGGAGGACAATTTCAACCGGGAAGATGGATTCTGGCTCAGCAATCATTGGAAGGACGTAATAAACCATTTCGGATCTTAACTGATTGTGTTCACGTTTACGGTGACTTTCAGACCGCAGTCCACTCACTGACATTGACTATATATCTTGTATTCTCCGCAGGGAATGGATTCTTTGCTCCGCTGCAAGCTTCCTATCACCACTCTTCCATTGACATATTTCGTTGCTTCCTCTTAGTACCTTTCACGCGACGGTCAATGGTATAGTGTATAGCATATTGTATAATAATAAATAGTATTCAAGTGTAATGTTTAATACAATGTATAAGGTAATATATAGTATCGTAATTTTATAGTGAATATATAGCAGTGTGGTATACAGTTGAGTGGGTAGAATAAAACATAGTGTAATATGACAATGTATAGTCAATTAACATATTAGTTGCTGCGGCGCCATATTATTAACATTCCTTCCCTTTATTAATTCTAACCTTACTCCCTCCCTTTGATACGGCTAATCCTGCATAATGCATGGGCATAATGACTTTAAACCCCTCGCCAAAACCTCCTACGCATTTCACAAGTAGTACTAATCGCATATCTTCATTTCCCATAAATATGCTAAATTCCTATTGATATGCAAATTATTTTGTCAAAGCGCTCTTCGCCCCTCCATCCCAGCATAAATAGTCGCTCCAAGCCTGGGGCGTGCCATTCAGACTGTCTACTTGACAGACCTGTTCTCCACCTGAAGACGGCTGCTTGCGTTGTGGCCAAAACGTCGTGAGAATTATTTTATAATGTTTTATTATTATTTTATTATTTTCCTTCTACGTGACTTTACCGAAAGAACCAAGAATATGAATCCCTGCAGTCACGAAAGCTTTAAATCGAAATCCTTTTTTCTGTCATTGTTTAGACCCCAATCCAGTCAGCATTTAAAATGTTCATAACTAGCCTGTTTAAATTTAACAGAATATGAATAACACGTCTACAGTCATTGTGTTCTGATTGCTGGCACAATTGTGCTCTAGATGACATGAATTGAATCCTGATTGGAAGCTTTCGTGACTGCAGGAATCCATACTCTTTGGTTCTTTCGGTGAAGTAACGTAGTTAGAAATAAAATAAAACAAATCACGATGTTTCGATCGCAACACAAGCAATCGTCATCAGGTGGGACAACTACAGCAAGAAACAACTGCTGATGAAGGCGAGAGAGCTGCCGTGGCACGAGGTTATATAGACTATATAGGAAGGGTACATGGACAGGGCTAGAGATGGGGGAGGGGCAGAGTAAGATCTGTGGAGGTGACGGGAAAGCTAGGGGGAGAGAGGTGTGGGGGGTTGCCAATGAAGCAACAATGCAAATGCAGCAGCAATGCCAAACGCTGGGGATGCGAGGGGAAATTAACTCAGAAAAACAGACCAGCACTCGGCAAATATGATGGAACCACCATAAATAGTTAAGGTTTTACCTGGTTAATAACATCCTTCCAATGATTGCTCAATTTGTATACATCTTCTTGGTTGAAGTTATGTCTATGTTTATATATCTAGATGGCTTCATCAACAAACCTATGATAGTTGCCCGAAGGTTTGCAGAGTACCTTGGTCTCAGAAAATACAATATCATGCGAGCCCACAGCATTATAACAATGGTCAGCCACGGAAAAGGTATTGCCTCTCTCTCCCATCACCCCCGCAGATCTTACTCTGCCCCCCCCATCTCAAGCCCCGCCAATGTACCCTACTTATATAGTCTATTATAACCTCGTGCCACGGCAGCTCTCTCGCCTTCTTCAGCGGTTGTTTCTTGCTGTAGTTGTCCCACCTGATGACGATTGCTTGTGTTGCGATTGAAACATTGTGATTTGTTTTATTTTATTTCTAACTACGTGACTTTACCGAAAAAACCAAAGAGTATGGATATTAATTGAATTGTGTTTAACATTGAGAAGGAGTCTGCATTTAAGTTCAGGCCCTAGCTGCTGCCATAGTTGTCTCCAATCTGGCATGTCACAGCCACATGGGTGGTATCTCTGACATCAAGTGACCTACGACGTCATGCTCTGGTTATAACAAATAATTTAAGTTTGGTCATATGACCCAAGAACCTACAAGGCATAGGGGGCCGTTATGAAGCAGTCGATGAATAAAAATGGGCTGTACATGAACATGCTTGTCGGGATTAGTAGTTAAATATCATGGTTGAGTCTGGCGATTGTTTAATGCAATAGTCAGTTGGAATAAATATTTTCGCGTCGGTGGATAAAAGAGTGATGCATACGTGTGAGTGGGTAAACAAGCGAGTGAGTGGACTTGTAAAGCAACAGGCACGAAAGTGAGTAGATGGTACAGTGCGTGGTCAAATATGTAATAATTGAGAGGATGAGTGATTAAAAAGGTTGACAAATCTGAGCATTGTTCCAACCTCCCCAGGCCCTCCAACATAAAACAGAAATTTCTCCTTCCCAACAACATGGACAGACAACTCAAGTGGGCTGAGATCTTGGAGGACTATGAGGGTAAGTCTCAGATACCTGCATCACGTGGCTTACATGCAGAGGAGGAGGCTCCCTCATCAATTACTTTTAATAGACATGGATTGGTAGTGATGGGAAGATGTAATGATCGAGTGTGGCAGAGAACGTGGGTTTAGATCTGAGTTTCAACCATCATTGCTTAAACTGGGGTCTCAAGTTTATGGAATTGATGGTCTATCCATGCTCACAAAAATACTGCCACGTGATGAATATTTCTCAATAGCAGCTCCTGTTGTGTGGTAAGAGGTAATTACAGGGATCTCAGAATTAGTTCTGTGAAACTCCATGTGCTTCGTTCTTTAATTTATTACTCGTCCTTTGAATTAATTTTCTGTTTTCTGTAGCCCGGGAGTCGTGGCGCCAGTCGACCACGTGGGGAGACATTATGGATAAAGTGGACCCTTTCGCAGGACAAAGTTATGAGAATTGCTCCCCAAAGGTGTGTATGGGGTCTGTGGGGGTCAAACACACCACATTATCTCCATACTAGCGCACCATGTCACCACGCCATCACACCAAACCATCACTACACCTCACATCACCACACTATCTCTCCATGTCACCTTTCTCATCACACCACACCACCACCACCAATTCAATATACGATCATAGAGCCTCATCATGCCTCTATACCATCACATAACACCGTCTCTCCAGAACATTCCACCACTTCCGCTCTCCATATCACAACACGATCTCTCAACACCATCACCCCATCTCTCCGCCATCACGTCATGCCATATCAAACATGTGAAGGCTCTTGAAGTAGCCATTTATTACCAATGAAGACACAATGACATCAGGAAGTAACATGAATTGTCTGTGCCATTCCAGTTGCCCACTATGGGTGCAGCAGTGATATTTGTCCAGATTATGGGCATCCAGATCTTTACAATGGAATATTCTGTGGAAACTATTGCCTGTGATGATTGTTGCCAAAAAATTGTCATGAAATCGTCACAGTCAATCACAGCCTTAAGTACGTGTATGGGGTTTGTGAGGGTATATGAGCATGTAACATGTATTTTGATTCTGTAGGGTGTTGTATGTGTTGGAATTATGAAATTTTGATGAAAATAATAAAAATTAATATTTTTTCGAAAAATGCGCAATTCGCATTAATTATGTTAATGTGTGTATTACTATGCATAAATTATGATAATGCGTGTAATTATATGCATAAATTATGATAATCACGGAGATAATCGTAGTAATTTATGCGGAGGCTTGCGATTATGTTAATGTGTGCAGTTGTGATAATTAGGCTTAGTTTCGTTTATCCAGAGTTATCAATCAGGATAACACGATTATCATAGATTCATTTACCGATTATCCTAGTGTGTGTTATAATATTTTAGGTCTCCATTTTCATATCTCATCGCAGGTAACAGCTCTTATGAATAAGACAGTTTTGCATGGACTTGGAAGTAACACTCGATATGCTTCTGTGATAACAATTTTATTCTAACAAGCATGTGACATTCTATCATGCAGGTCAAACATGCGTCAATAATTCATGAATAACCAAACACTTATGCTTTTGCGATATCATGCATTCGATTAATATGAATAACTAAAATTCTTATGCAATTACGAGACTATGCATTTGACTAAAATGAATGAATAAACACTTATGCATTTAACGAACTGAATGACTAAAAACCCTCCTAACAACCAGGCATCTCATTAGTTCGTTTTTTTTTCGATCACAATCGGCGACTGGCCAAGTTTGAAACAAGCATGACACACTTCATTTTGCGGTAATAAAAAGCACTTATTGTATCCCAAAGGCGAAAGTGTATGTATATACTGGTGGGTGAGGGCGTGTTGCGGGAGAGCTAATCTGGCTCTGTTTTAATTAATTCTTCGGCGAGACTCTTTGACAAAGGAACTGGTTTGACAAGATTTTCTCTGTTTCCTTGAGTCTGTATGTGGGGAGCGATACGACCTCTCTGCTGTCTGTGCGAGCGGCAGCTGAGACTTTCTCCGCCCTTGGTGAGCGGCGGCGCTCGTTCAGAAGACTTTGACTCTTTTTCTCCACGGCGGGATGACGAGTCGGTTTTGGTTGATGCTGGTCGATCTGGTTGTCGCTCGGTGGCGCAAGGTGGCACACGGTGGCGCACGGTGGCGCAAGGTGGCGCACGGTGGCGCACGTTGGCGCTCGTTCAGCGATCTCCGCCTTTCCTGCGGGTTGTTCGCTGGTTGTCACTCTGACGAGGAGCGATGCTTCGTTCGTGACAGGGTGGACGTTGGCGTCTTTGTTGGCTTCACTCGCAGCTCTGCGACTCGGGGTAGCGATTCTTCTCAGGTGGTGCAGACCTCGGCTTGTAGCTACGCGTCGCTACTCCGCGAACCTCGTCATTCTGAATGACGAAAACTTCTTGACGATCTGTGGTGGAGTCGAAGCCCTGGCGACGAGTTGGGGCTCAGAGCCCTGGCGATCTGCTGGTGGGGCCCGTGGCCCGGACGATCTGTGTTGTATGGATTTTCCTTCGGTTTATATCTGGAAATTCCACTCAGTTTCCCGAGTTGTTCAAAGCCTGTCATAAAACATTCCTGTGGGTGTGAACCATCTGCGTTCGTGTGTGTGTGTGTGCGTGTCCGTCCGTGTGTTTCGCGTGCGTGTTTGTCCGTGTGTTTATTAGCTTTGAAGATACAGCTGTGTGTCGTTCTGGAAGAAAGGGGTGGGGGTGGGGGCCTCGTGACGGCGCCACCGAAGTTATCCATTAGCCAGACCGATGATTCGCGTCGAGTTATAAAAAAAAACATTCAAATCCATGGTTTGTTACTGAATAATATTTGTCGCGAAAACCTACGCGTTAAGCGAGCTTAATTATTCCCTCCCTTGCTCGGGGATCACATCCTTTGTCTCACACAGCTTAAGTTGGTTTGGTTTGGAAGTTGAAATGCGATTTATTTCTATTATGCCCAGTTATGCTGAAACCGTGTTCACGATGTTTCATCGTGACCCGATCTCTCATGGAAATGTTATTTCCTCGTGTGTGCAATTTTTGCTGTCCGTGTTGTGGGAAGACAAAGACGGTTGTTTCCACGGTGGAAGCACCCGGCGCATGCTTTTATTTATTTATCTTCGAAGACGTGTTAATTTCCTTTGAGCCATTGCCCCCTTTATGGGTGTCATTTCCTAGCTTTGTGCCTGCGTGTGGAGATCCTCTCGGAAAGACAAAGACGGCCGTGTTGCTCGCTTCCCATGGGTTGTTGTGTTTGGTTAATTTTGAGAGCCTTCTCCGCCCTTGATTCCTCTTCTACTTTAATTCCGTACTTATTGTTTGACTTCTTGTGATTATTTAATCTGATATCCCGGCTTATCTTTGTTCAGAATATAATTATCTCTTCCTCCGTGGTGCCTGGTTTGAGGTTTTTTTAACAAAAGGATGTCCTGCTGACCCCCCTGCCTGCCATTCCCTCCTCCCTTGTTCCTCTTGTGTGAAATTCGGGGAGTTTATGACCTTGATTACCCTCTTTCATGCCGTCTTTCCTTTGAATTGAGGTATGCGCGCATCTGTGGAAGTGTGGGGGCGTGTTCGTTCCACGTTGCCCCGTGTCTATTAAAAAAACAATATTATATATGATGGCAGAATAATTCTAAAAAAAAAAATAATATTAAAAAAAAATAAAAAGGGGGTACATACACAACAGTCCGCCCGTTTGAAAATTATCAGGGGTCGATTTGGCCACTGGCGAATTTTCAAACAAAGTAATGCCCCCTTTTTATGTCATGAATCCCATCAGCCGCCCTTACTCTCGGCGGTTATTTCTTACGACGCGCGTGCACGTATTACAATCTTAACCTGGTTACATCTGAAATAAGCAAAGAAAATAAACAACACGTTAAACATCGATATTGCGTTACATCGGTTCTCATACATCATAACTCCGACGAATATTCATTTTAGTTTTTTGCTTAACATAGTTACATTTGAATTAAGCAAAGAAAATAACAACACGTTAAAACATCGATATTGCGTTACATCGGTTCTCATCCATCATAACTACGGCGAATATTCATTTTTGTTTTTGTTAAATCCTGGTTACATTTGAATTAAGCAAAGAAAATAACAACACGTTAACATCGATATTGCGTTACATCGGTTCTCATACATCATAACTCTGACGAATATTCATTTTTGTTTTTGTTAAATCCTGGGAAACGCTAGGTAGCGGTTTCGAACGCATTTATGCGTTACCTTCCTCATGTTGCCTGGTTTACCACTTATCACTTTGATAATTTGATCACGGTTTTCGGGTTCGTTTTTGTAGTTTTCTCTCTCACTCTCGCGTCGTGGGAGTGTGTGGTGAAAAATTGTGCTGCACGTAACCAGAATTCGCGCACACAACCCACTTTGACACTTGGTTCGTGGCATTCGCTCTCTCTGCGATTACATGCACATTTGCCGAGTCAGTGTGTCGACTTAATTCTGTGCCTCGTAATGTTGCCCTCTTTGTTTTTACGAGTGTGTTAGATTCCAACACCATTCCTGATATGTCATGAACATTCGTCTCCATTTTAGCACTCCGATCCGCATAAATTTTGGTTTCCCTTGGATATTTTTCATTCAAAGGCTCACGCCTGCGCTCCTCAGGGCGTGTCTCTGTGTTCTCTCTTTCTCTCTGCTGTCTGTTATCCACCGTCCGATCACACTTCAATTCAGCCCTGTCACTTGCAGCCTGCTTAGGGTTTAACACCTCGGCGGGTGGGGCGCGTGTTGGCCGCTCGCTCGCACTCACTGTGGATGGTTCATCATGTATTTGGGCCGCATTCTGTGTTATTCTTCTATTCCCCCCTGGTATAGCCGGTGGAGGAATTGGTCGGAATTGGATCGATTGTGTTTGACCTCCCATCCTGCGATTCTCCTGAATGTTCGCATCCATACCTCCGCGGTCTGTGTAACACCTTCCCGCTAGGTGGTTATCTTGCCATCTCTGTGCGTAATTTGAACCTTGCGTGTGTCGTGGGATGGGGTGTTGATATGGTTCTGCTCTGAACCTCTCCCTCCTGCGATTCTCGTACATTTTTGGCCCAGTGTTTCTCCCATTTGGGTGCCAAATTTTTCCTGGATTGTTACTTCGCCATCTTTGTGGGTAATTTTGATCTTGTGTGTGTCGTGGCATGGGGTGTTGGTATGGTTCTGTTCTGAACCTCCCCCTCCTGCGATTCCTCTGAAGGTTCGGCTTTGTGCCGCTCTCATTCTCGTGCCAACCTCTCTCTGGTTTATTTTGCCACGGGTGCGTGCGTTTTTGCTCCGTCCTGCATTGTGGGACTGCTCGGTGATTTTTATTTCTCTCTGAGAGGCTGGGTTTCTTATCCCTCTCCCTGTGTTCTGGATCCGAATTATGATTCTTAGCTCTGTACAACCATGCCATGTACGCCTTGCTCTCTATGCGGCGTAGGGATGCGGTTTCTGGATTCAAAACCATCCTCACCCTTTCTGTAATCTCTGGGCTCAAGGATTCAAAAAACATAATTTTGAACATTTTATCTCCTTCGTGGTATTGATTCACATCGCCTGCGTAATACGCTCTTTTAAATTGGACGAGGTAGTCACGTGGATCTTGGTCCATGCCCTGGGTCATCGATTTTACAGCATAAAACCCCTCAGTGAGTGTCGAATATTCTCCAAACTTCCGAATCACTGCCAGGCTCAATTGTTTAATATCATTTCTAACCTTGTGTGGTAGTGACTTTACCCATGGGATAGATTCTTTATGTAAGGTCCGTTTCAACAAACTCGCTTTTTCATCCCGTCTCCTCAGCCCTCTAATCATTGCCTCCTCTTCTACTGTTGCGATATGTGTGTATATATCCATGGACTTATTGTGGGGGTCAAAATCGGGAATTCTGACTAGAGCCTTGTCCATCAATTTAAGGGTTTTACTGGTGAATAGGTATTCCGAAAGTTGATTGCCGACAGCGTCATCATCAAACAAGTTATCATCAGGCAATCTGTCACTTTGGTCTGTGCTTTGTCGGGCGGGTTGCCATTTCCCTTCAGTTTTTGCCTCTGCCCTTGGTGGAGCATGTCCTGTCGACTTTACTTTAACATTTTTCCTCCCTCTATCTGTGAAGTTGTCAGTCTCACAAATTTTTGTTTGCATATGTATCTCTCCATCCCTTCTCTCGAATTGTGAGGGTTTCCCTCTGTCAAGGATTTTTTGTTCGATATCCATAATTTTTGTGCGATCAGTTCCTGGACTCTGTCCACGTACCCAAGAGTGTGATTTAATGTTACTTCCATATTTATTCTGTGGATCAACGTCTGTGAGTTTCGCTGGTGTCGCGAGCACTGATTTCTCTCCCGTTTCCTTTCCAAATTTTTCCTCATTCCACAATCCCTGTCTGTATGCCTGTGTGAAAAGGAATGAGTCCTGTCCTGCCTTTCCTGCAGTTTTTACATCGTGTTCGCCTTCGTTACATTTTATCCAGTCAATTAGTTTCCCCCGAGGTGTGTTCGTGTTATCGATACAGCTCCCTTCCCATATGTCTCTCTGACTGTACTGCTTTGTAACAGATTGGTCGGTACGTTTAAATACGAGCTCCCCGTATCCCGTAACCCATTCAAAAATTATTCTTAATCCCAGCATCTCAAAAGTGTGGCGGGAGTTACTTTGACATTCGCTTTCAGAGTGCATATAAAACAATTATCTCACAGAGTGTAGTCAATTTGACTCGAGCTATCTGTTATTTTCCGATTCAGAGTGCGTACCTCTAACACCATTTATCACAGGATGCAATTGGTTTGATACGATATTATCTTAATTCCACTCTCTGTTTTAACCTGCTATTCTGGGTTTTAACCTTAGAGGGCGTTTTTTAGTTTTCCGCCCGTTCACAATTACCATGCAATGTTCGATCCCGATATTCTGGTTAACACGAAGTGATTCATTCCATCATCCATGCAAAACACTGTCTGCGAGAGATCCCGGACGACGCCACCCATTATGTTGTATGTGTTGGGATTATGAAATTTTGTTGAAAATAATAAAAAATAATAATTTTCCAAAAAATGCGCAAATCGCATTAATTATGTTAATGTATGTATTACTATGCATATATTATGATAATGCGTGTAATTATATGCATAAATTATGATAATCACGGAGATAATCGTAGTAATTTATGCGGAGGCTTGCGATTATGTTAATGTGTGCAGTTGTGATAATTAGGCTTAGTTTCGTTTATCCAGAGTTATCAATCAGGATAACACGATTATCATAGATTCATTTACCGATTATCCTAGTGTGTGTTATAATATTTTAGGTCTCCATTTTCATATCTCATCGCAGGTAACAGCTCTTATGAATAAGACAGTTTTGCATGGACTTGGAAGGAACACTCGATATGCTTCTGTGATAACAATTTTATTCTAACAAGCATGTGACATTCTATCATGCAGGTCAAACATGCGTCAATAATTCATGAATAACCAAACACTTATGCTTTTGCGATATCATGCATTCGATTAATATGAATAACTAAAATTCTTATGCAATTACGAGACTATGCATTTGACTAAAATGAATGAATAAACACTTATGCATTTAACGAACTGAATGACTAAAAACCCTCCTAACAACCAGGCATCTCATTAGTTCGGTTTTTTTTCGATCACAATCGGCGACTGGCCGAGTTTGAAACAAGCATGACACACTTCATTTTGCGGTAATAAAAAGCACTTATTGTATCCCAAAGGCGAAAGTGTATGTATATACTGGTGGGTGAGGGCGTGTTGCGGGAGAGCTAATCTGGCTCTGTTTTAATTAATTCTTCGGCGAGACTCTTTGACAAAGGAACTGGTTTGACAAGATTTTCTCTGTTTCCTTGAGTCTGTATGTGGGGAGCGATACGACCTCTCTGCTGTCTGTGCGAGCGGCAGCTGAGACTTTCTCCGCCCTTGGTGAGCGGCGGCGCTCGTTCAGAAGACTTTGACTCTTTTTCTCCACGGCGGGATGACGAGTCGGTTTTGGTTGATGCTGGTCGATCTGGGTGTCGCTCGTTGCCGCTCAGTGGCGCACGGTGGCGCAAGGTGGCACACGGTGGCGCACGGTGGCGCAAGGTGGCGCACGGTGGCGCACGTTGGCGCTCGTTCAGCGATCTCCGCCTTTCCTGCGGGTTGTTCGCTGGTCGTCACTCTGACGAGGAGCGATGCTTCGTTCGTGACAGGGTGGACGTTGGCGTCTTTGTTGGCTTCACTCGCAGCTCTGCGACTCGGGGTAGCGATTCTTCTCAGGTGGTGCAGACCTCGGCTTGTAGCTACGCGTCGCTACTCCGCGAACCTCGTCATTCTGAATGACGAAAACTTTCTGACGATCTGTGGTGGAGTCGAAGCCCTGGCGACGAGTTGGGGCTCAGAGCCCTGGCGATCTGCTGGTGGGGCCCGTGGCCCGGACGATCTGTGTTGTATGGATTTTCCTTCGGTTTATATCTGGAAATTCCACTCAGTTTCCCGAGTTGTTCAAAGCCTGTCATAAAACATTCCTGTGGGTGTGAACCATCTGCGTTCGTGTGTGTGTGTGTGTGCGTGTCCGTCCGTGTGTTTCGCGTGCGTGTTTGTCCGTGTGTTTATTAGCTTTGAAGATACAGCTGTGTGTCGTTCTGGAAGAAAGGGGTGGGGGTGGGGGCCTCGTGACGGCGCCACCGAAGTTATCCATTAGCCAGACCGATGATTCGCGTCGAGTTATAAAAAAAAACATTCAAATCCATGTTTTGTTACTGAATAATATTTGTCGCGAAAACCTACGCGTTAAGCGAGCTTAATTATTCCCTCCCTTGCTCGGGGATCACATCCTTTGTCTCACACAGCTTAAGTTGGTTTGGTTTGGAAGTTGAAATGCGATTTATTTCTATTATGCCCAGTTATGCTGAAACCGTGTTCACGATGTTTCATCGTGACCCGATCTCTCATGGAAATGTTATTTCCTCGTGTGTGCAATTTTTGCTGTCCGTGTTGTGGGAAGACAAAGACGGTTGTTTCCACGGTGGAAGCACCCGGCGCATGCTTTTATTTATTTATCTTCGAAGACGTGTTAATTTCCTTTGAGCCATTGCCCCCTTTATGGGTGTCATTTCCTAGCTTTGTGCCTGCGTGTGGAGATCCTCTCGGAAAGACAAAGACGGCCGTGTTGTTCGCTTCCCATGGGTTGTTGTGTTTGGTTAATTTTGAGAGCCTTCTCCGCCCTTGATTCCTCTTCTACTTTAATTCCGTACTTATTGTTTGACTTCTTGTGATTATTTAATCTGATATCCCGGCTTATCTTTGTTCAGAATATAATTATCTCTTCCTCCGTGGTGCCTGGTTTGAGGTTTTTTTAACACAAGGATGTCCTGCTGACCCCCCTGCCTGCCATTCCCCCCTCCCTTGTTCCTCTTGTGTGAAATTCGGGGAGTTTATGACCTTGATTACCCTCTTTCATGCCGTCTTTCCTTTGAATTGAGGTATGCGCGCATCTGTGGAAGTGTGGGGGCGTGTTCGTTCCACGTTGCCCCGTGTCTATTAAAAAAACAATATTATATATGATGGCAGAATAATTCTAAAAAAAAAAATAATATTACAAAAAAATAAAAAGGGGGTACATACACAACAAGGGTTTGGGCTATTTAGGGGCTAGGGCACTTACAATGTGATAAAAGTATTGATGGATAAGGAGTTATGTTAACATCAGGTGATTGTGTATATTCACGTATGTGCTAAGCAAGTTTGCATGAGTAAATGTAGTTGTTTGCATCCGTACATAGATTTGTGAGTGCATTTGTGTTTGGGTTTATGAGCACGTCCATGTTTACGTGCCTGTGGGTATGAATTTTGCTTGCATGTGCATGTCTGAATGTTTCTTTGCTCATCTTTGCTCGAACAGAGGAGCATTGGGGAGTTGAAGCACTTCAGCGGAGTGAAGCGTCTCCAGGAGAAGCACCTTGTGAAGGAGAAATGCACCATGGAAAAGGAGCACCTCATTGAGGTGCAGCGCCTTGTCAGGGTGAAGTGCCACACAGAGGAGAAGTGCCTCAGAGACAATCTACTCAAGAACCACCTCATTGAAAAGCACCTCATTGAAGTGAAGTGCTTCAGGGATGAGAAGCGTTTTCGCAAGTTGAAGTGTCTCGAGGAGAAGCATCGGGAGGAGGAGAAGCATCTTGCCAGGGTGAAGTACCTTGGAGAGGTAAAGCGTCTCCAGGAGGAGAAGTGTCTCAAGGAGGTGGAGCGCATCACTGAAGAGAAGCGCCTCATTGAAGTGAAGCGCCTCGCCAGGGTGAAACACCTCACACAGCAGAAGTGCCTCAGAGACAATCTCCTCAATAATGTGAAACGCCTCATGGAAAAGCGCCTCATTGAGGAGACCAATGAGAAGCGTCTGGAGAAGAAGCGTTTCACCAGGGTAAATTACCTCACCGAGGTGAAGCGCTTTGCCAACATGAAGCGGGTCGAGGAAGAGAAGCGCCTCATGGAGAAGACGCGCCTTGTTGAGGTGAAACTTCAAGAGGAGGAGCGCTTCATGGAGGAAAAGCACATTGTAGAGGAAAAGCATCTTGTGGAGGAGCAGTGCCTCGCCAAGATGAAGCAACAGTGGCTCCGGACAGCTACCACCAGCAGCACTACCAGCAGCACCGCCAGCAGCCCCACCACCACCGCCGCCACTCTTGTGCAGGGCCCGATTGCTCCGAGCTTTGGAGAAAAGGGCTTCCAAGAAGAGAATGCAAACTCTGGGGCCGCTGAGCCACGGTAAACCACTCTGCATGTGTCCTATGTGTGTTTATTTCTTTATTTATTATGCTTGTTTTTCTCAGGACGAGCCTCACGAAGTCTCAAGACTTTTTTTCAGGAGGGTCCTACCAAGTTTGCTCGCAGTAGGGAATGAAGTTGCTACTGTTTTTGATCCAAATTAGGCAATTTGCAATGCTTGTGTGGATCAGTTACAGGGAGAAAGTTGCAGCACCCTTCCAGAATAGGGGGCAACACACTCCACAGAGAGAATATGGCCAAACATGGAAATCAAACCCAGGTCTCTCTTACTGTGAGGCACAGATGCTCCAGCCCTGCCACATTTACAAATACACAGACACAGCAAGCCCAACGCGTACATTCGGCTATACTATGGACAGATATATTTTCCATAATTAGTGTCTGGGTTAGATCACATAATGATGCGGCCATATCTTCACCATGTAACCCTCCATCCACCGTGATATTTTGGCAGACTAAGGCCTGTCTCCAGGCCAGCTTCCAAGTTGCTTTGTAATGCACAGAGACAGCTACCAAATGCATTGAGACGAGAGATGCAAGATGTGAGTGGCTCATCGCGTGCAATGCACTCTGAGATGCCTTTGATGTTAAGGGAGGCGGCTCTTTCGACCACAAATCACTGCCATATCTTTCCGAAATCGTGGATGGGTTGACGCGGCCAAAAGGTAGCGCACTCAACGTTCACCACTTACAGTTCAAATCTTGCTTCTCGCCCTTGCTATTACTGCCACCGCATTAACCACAAAGATAAACATCCATTCCATCACAGCGGACTTTCAAAATCTCCACCGATATTATTTTAAATCTGTAGGCCATTATGTTCAAGGGAATAATTAGAATACTCATATAAACAATAATTTCATGACAAATGATTAAGCTAAATTTACACAGCAACGCCACCCAGTACAGTAAAACCTTGGATTGCGAGTAACTTGGTCTGCGAGTGTTTTGCAAGACGAGCAATTTTTTTAAATAAATATGAATTTGATAAACGAGCGACGTCTTGCAATACGAGTAGTACGTATACGCTTTGTCTGCCGAGCGTCACGTGATCACAACTGATATACGAGTGCTTTGGATTACAAGCACGTTTCCGGAACGAATTATGCTCGCAATCCAAGGTTTTACTGTACTTTGAAACTACAGCAGTCTGTGTGAGACAGCTGCACCTATCTCAAGGATAGCCTTGAGCTATGAGAATGACAGCGCCAATACCAAGCACTCACTGGTCATGTCGTTATTGCTGTTTATATTAAGCTCAGATTAATCTGCCACACATTCCACACACGCTGGAGAGATGGCGATGTCTGCCATAGCAGGAAGTTGGAACGGTGCCGTGTTTTGTCTCTTCACAGATTTGAACCAGCGCAGCCCTCCTCCTCACTCATCCAGGCCTTTGAAGCAAAGACAGAGGTTATGGTGGAGACAAAGGAAGAGGTGAAGGAGGAGGTGAAGGAAGAGATGATGGAGGAGGAGGTAGATGCAGAGAAATCGGAGGAAGAGAAGACAAAGGAGGACGAGATTGTGATGGAGACAAGGGAGGAGAACACGGAGGGAGAGGATAAAGATATTATGGAGGTGGAGGACCAGGACAAAACAAAAGATGAACAGATGGTCGTGGTGGGGGACATGGAGGAGATGGACAAAGGGGAAACAATGGTGGTGGAGGAGGAAGAGAAGACGGTGGTGGAGGAGATGGTGCTGCAGGAAGGTGAGGAGATGATGAAGGAAGAGATGGTGGTCGGGAAGGGGGAGAAGATGGAGAAGAAGACAAATGTGGAGCAGGAAGAGAAGGTAGAGGAGAAGATGGTGGTGGAGGATGAAGAGAAGGAGGAGGATGAGACAGAGGAGGAGAAGATGGAGGAGGTGCAGGAGGTGGTGATGCACGAAAAGAAGAGGAAGCGAGGAGGCTTCGTTCACATGGCGAGAGCAATCACCTCACTCCTCCGCCGCGTGCTGCTTTGTGGCGGCAGGTCCACCGCCCAGTAGGGGTGGTCGTGGATTGGTGCAAACCATGACCGCTATCACCACACTACCTATCCACCCCATGATACACGCCACACACACACCACACGGTTCCCCAGAGAGAGGGTGCCACTGGGACCACAGCTGGGGAATGAAGCTGAGCAGCAGATGCCAGGACTACAGGAGAGAATGACTGCTACCAGGACACCTCACATCACACACACACACGGGACTATCCCAATAGCATAGCCAGCCCCACACTGGGCCCCTTCCATGCTGGTTTTCATCCAGGCAGTCCTCATGGGATGACCTTGCCATGGTTTCCAGGACATGGAAGGGGCAGCTGACCCAGGGTGAGAGAGCTGGAGGGGTCAGGTGCAGACAATGAACAAAACCTGCACGTGCCAAGTTTCAAGGCCACCCTGTTAAGAATTAGGATACATACTATTGTTGTTACCATAAACTTTGTGAAATCAACCTTTGAGGACACAGCATAACGTTGCATTACTTGTGAGTGCTTCCTGGGTTGGGTAAATGTGCCTTGGCTTGTGCGTGCGGTGTCCCGGCTGTGTGTGTGGCGGTACAAGGACACATAATGAGACGTTTTGGGAAATGGTCCTTCTTCAGAGCACATACAAGCGGTGGTGGGAAAACATTCAGGTGATTTGCCTTCTTAACGACAAATCCGCCCCTCCTCTCCCCCATGAATCCACTGTTCCACTGTGCCACTGCTCCACTGTCCCATTGCTCCACTGCCCCATTGCCCCACGGCCCCTCTGCTTCACTGCCCCACTGCCCCACTGCTCCACCATCTGGCACAGCAGTTGAAACGAATTATTGAGTATCTTAAATCCCCCTGCCTCTATCCACCAAGCAGTGAAAACGGGTGCGCCACAATCGTGCGGCAAGATGTGTGGTGGATTAAAGATAAAGCAATTGCAGGACTGTGCCACTGCTCCACAATCCCATTTCCTTTGGCAAAATATTCAAAGAATGCGGCTGCTCACTAAACAGGTTGCTGCTAATGTATATAACATGGGGGGGGGGGGGCATGTTTAGACGCGGCCCAGTGACCTCGTGGTCATAGCACTAAATTGGCACCACGGAGTACCTCGGTTTAAATCCAGGCAGCCGCCTGTGATCAAAGCGGATTCTCAAGTCTAGCGAGTTAATGGTCTCAGCCTGGTCGTCATGGATTGCACAAAATAAACCATCACCTGGCTGTAATGTGGTTCTCCATGTAATTGATCAATTCCAGCTGTAAGATGTAACAACATTATTATAGATCATTGTCTCTGACATACACTCATCCCAGAAGCATGTCTGTACACATACAAAAAAACCCTTATATAGCCCTCACGAGACTTTTAGGGAAAGTGTTATTAGCAAGCACGCTACGAAGCGGGTGGCCAGCACAACGTTCGACCACCTTTCAATCCCTAGTGGCGATGTTTACACAGCACGCCATGTACTCCTTTCAAGTTGAGTCGACCTAGGGGAGGCCCAAGACCAAATCAAATAATCATCACTGCGATTAGCCATGGGTGGGATCCAAAATCGGGTCAATGAGTTCGTAGCCCAGAGCAGTAACCGCTATGCCACCACTCCCCACATACAGACACCTACAAAAACAAAGATCCCCTTTATAGCTTTAACAAACTGTTGAGGCAAGTGCCTTTAGTGAGCAACACCTATGAAGGCTGAGACGGCACACGAAGGGGTGGGTAAACAGCACCACGCCCCACCGCCGTTGTCACCGGAGTGCTGATTGTGACACACCACACAGAGGAGAGGCCTAAGCCCAGTTCATATCAATCGCCACCAAAATTAAACGTTAGCCGTGGCCAGCAATCAAACTTGGCCTCCCAGGTTTGTAGCTCAGCGCCCTAACCACTGCACTGCTGCTCTTCACGCAGACAACCGGGTTGGTGGGTCCAACCTGACTCGGAGTAAAACAAGTACCTGATGCGGTGGTGCGTAAACATATGCACCTTAAAGACAAAGAAATCTGGCGTGGTGCTGGCCACAGCCCTGATGCACGGTGCCGGCCTTCATGGTGCTCGCTAACAGCACTTACCAACACAGGACTGCTGCTTGTATGCTCACCATGCCTGGGTACAGGGGGTGACACGCTTCCTCACGCGGCTCCTCTGCCCGGCCCAGCCAGCGCCCTGTGGGGCTGAGACTCGCAGCGCCGGCGTCACGCGATGCTCCGCCACCACCACCACCAGCTGTGCCAATGTGCGATTTGCGATGGAGTGGCAGAGGACCTAGGGCTTTGTTATAAACACACAGGGGGTTAATGTTCAGTAGCTGGTGAAATAAGTTAACTTTGCCATCATCATCTTCATCAACCATCATCTGCTGAATAAAGGCCTCCGAGTCATCACCATCTCTCATTGGTCCTGTGATGCAACACAGGACCATTGAGCTCCTGTACAGCGAGCGGTTAGCACGCCACCTTGTGAACCCAGCAAATCGACGTTGGATTCTTGGCCAAGGTCAACATCAGAGATGAGCGATGTCTAAACTGGTCCCGAGGCAGCAGCTTCCCTCCCCATCCCACACGGAGCGACATGGCAACATTCAGTCAACTAACCTCTTCGACCTGCACGGCGTAGGGAGGTCCACATCAAACCATGGATTTACTAGGTCTGCAATGTGTACGCGAGCATTGGGGGGGCCCTGCACTTCAATGTCATGGAGGAGTCAGATGTAATACTTCCGGTTGAGTTTGAAGGCATCGGGGGGGCCCGCACTGTGATTTGCCCCAGGCCTAACACCCTGTATGGACGGCCTTGTGTTTCATTTTTCAGTCTGCCACATGCCTTTGCCACACATAATATGGATAACTAGCGGTTAGTACCCGGCGTTGCCCGGGCGAAAAAGGCAGACATGTAGTTACACACGCAAATCCATTGATACACACACACAGAGTTACACGCACAAATGGACTCACACATATATATGTAGGACTCGTACTCGGGTTGTCTTTCTCGTTCCGTTTATTTGCTCTTTAAAGTCCACATCTTCTCCTCATCACCGCTCCGTGTCTCCCCGTTTGCTCCGTCACGCCATCCGCCATCAACGGCGCTCTGTCTCTCCGTTCTTTCTCCTGCTCTCCCAGAGTCCGTCACTCCGCTGCTACCCTACTCTGTATCTCTCCGATGCACTGCTACCACTGCTACCACTCACTCTACGTTCTCTTACTTCCGTATTCTGTCCTATCTCTCTCCACTGCTACCGTTATCGTATCTTCTCCACTTACTCCTGCTCCTCGCTATCCCGGGCACCATCACTCCAACTCTTATCCAGACTCCAGCTCTAACCAAGACTCCCGTCTCTCTTGCGCTGTGCCTTTTATCCCCGTATCAATTAGTCCCTATTAATGATCTCACCCCACGCTTTACCCCTCGCCCCCAGCCTCACGTGGCCTTGTTATTCCTGCCTGAGCAACGCCAGTAATTAAGCACTCACCCTCTTAGCCAATCACCGGCCTGTGTCCTCGGTTACCCTTAACACCTGTCACCCATCTTAACGACGTCCTCCTCATGCCCGACAACAACAACCTCGTCCTCAAATACCCCCTACTGTACACTGCTCGCTTGCATAGCAACAGACCCACAAAACGCGTGGCGCGGCATATTCCAAGTCCTACATATACATAGACTGAACAACAACAACCGTCATTCGCCACTAAGTGGCGGTGACGTCACAACAACGCTTGTGCCAGGCTATGTGCACCTTGAGGCCATGTAAAGTGTCGAACACCCGCTGGCAGGAGGTCACGGGGCAAACCTAGATGGCACAGGTCGACTGACGGAGACGACTGGCTGATGCACCACCTGTGGCCCCTACTGTAGCAACTTTCTGTGCTTTAGGCACCCGGCGCTTCGCTCGTTGTTGTGAGCATCGCTCTTCCGCCCTCCGTTGTTGTTGGAGGGAGACTGCCTCCAACTGGCCAGTAGCGTCCTTCAGGAGCCTCCTCCACAGAGGCCTATCTTGACACGGTTGGTACCAGTTATCCGCAAGTGGACTCAGCTCCAAGTTCTCCTGTAGCACATCACTCCATGTCTTCTCCAGCCCGTGCCACGCCCGTTTAGCCCCCTCGATCCGGCCGAACAAAAGCTGTTTAGGCATGCGGTAGCTGGCCATGCAGGCTACATGACTCAGGAAACGCAGCCTTGCCTGCCGGAGGTCACCGATGGGACTTTGTCCACATCTTTCAAGGATTTGTGAGCTCCTCACACAATGCAGCCTTGGTTAAACCTAGGATGGATCGTAGGCAGGCCATCCTAAATGTTTCTAACTGGCGAAGATGTTCCATTAGGGGGGGTCCAAGTTTCGCAAGCGTAGAGAAGGGAGGGAATGACCGTGGCCGAGAACACCTGAAGCTTCGTATGGAGTGATAAGACCAGGTATCTTCCACACAGCGTTACGCAGCCAATGAAAAGATAATGCAGCTCGACTGATTCGGAGTGAGATCTTTGCTGTTAAACCGGAGCCGGTCATTAGCACACTGGCAAGGTATAGGAAACTCTCCACTGTCTCCACAACTGCCCCATCACCAATTGGGAGTTGTGGGGGTGGAGTGTCCGATGGTACAAAATAGCCAGGCAGGTGCTTAGTTTTGGTGGGGCTGATGGTAAGGCCCCCACCTCTTGGTGGCAAGCTCCAGGTTCAGCAGCAGCACCTCGAACTCTTCCTCCGAGTTAGTAGCAATTAGCAGATCATCGGCATACATAACGTGGTTGAGCAATAGGGTGCCATCCCTTGACCGCACCCGAGCATCGATCAGCCTCCCATTGTATCTGTAGCAGATGGGAATTCTTCCGGTACAGGTATTGAAGGCTTGACGAACTACGTGGTCCAAATATATGTAAAATAATATGGGAGCCAGAGGACATCCCTGTTGCACCCCAAGGTGTAAAGGAAATGGCTTTGACTCACGGCCACGTAGTTAGACGCGGGGCCGCTCACCATCATGAAGGTCCTTAAGGATGGTAATCAGTGGGTCAGGGACTCGGAAAGCACGAAGAGCAACCCAGAGGCCAGGCCTACCGATGGTATTATAGGCCTTGAGCAGGTCAATAAAGCACACGCATGGACTAAGATGCACACATGGACCTACAGACACGCAAATAAATGGAGTTACACTAACATGGAGGCATGCACGCACATGGACTGAGACACACACACACACATATCGACTCACACACACAAACACATCGACTTACAGACATACACACACATATGGACTCACACACACATAGACATGCACTTGAGATACACACACATGGAGTCACACACACATTGACGTAAACACACATGTACTTACACACACACATGGACTTACACGCACACAAATGGACTGACATGCACACTTGGACTGACACACACACATAAACACTTTGACATACACACACACGGGGCGTTGTCCGTTAGAGAAAGACAGACACACACATGGAGTTAAAGACACGCATGGCTCTACACGCACACACATATGGACTCAAAGACACACACATTGACGGGCACAGCAATCCCCTATGATGGCACAGCTATCAGTATGGCAGTACTACGTATGAGGAAATAGCGTGACGTGAGCGATGGAAACAATAGAGCCAAATCCCCCGCAAGCGCGAGCGCGCGGTGACTTTTATATATAAGAAAAAAAGAAAGAAAAAAGAAAGAA